CTCCTCCTCCCACTTTAAAGATGAGTGAAAAAAAAAATGCTGGCTTGTACCTGTTTCAGAGTTCCCCAATGCTGCTGGGTCAAATTTTTGGAAAAAAAGGGCTTTTGGGGAAAAATTTACATAAATTCTCTTTGGGTCTAGTCAACAGGCACAAAAGTACTAACAGTGCAGAACTAGTCCAGACCACAAAGGTGGTACTGTACACTAATTAGCATCTATTGTCCTCATCCCTCCATATTGCCTCAGGAAGGAAGATAACCCAGAACTGCTATAAGCCATTCCCCTGGAATCCTCACTTGTATGTGACCAGTTACATGTTTGGTTTAGGTTTATCTTTTTTCTAACTTTGGGGGGAGAAGGGGAAAAAAATAATCAGTAAATGTAAACACAAAACCCCAAACCAAGTTAACTTCACAACTGCTTACCCTGCCATACAGAGTATGTAAGAGTGAATGTCCAGTCCTGTCTGCAACACAACAGCATCTGTGGGCCTGTCCTCCTTTTCCAAACTGAAGACTCTGTCCACCAAATGCACGCTGATAGATTTTTCCTTCTTCAGTTCTGCTAAAGGGCATCCCGTAATTTTCCAGCTGTTGAACCCAAATAAAAGCATCAGAAACTCTTGTGCATCACAACAAATGAGTTATTTTAAGGAGATCTCCTCGGAAGCCAGCCTGTGTTATTTATAACTACAGCTGACATCAAATCCCATGAGTCTCACCTCTATCACCGCAGCTGGGGCTTGCTCAGTCATGTAGTGTATGGCATCCTGGTCACCCAGCCAGTCCGACCCCTTCACCGTGTCATAGAAATGCCACCTCCAGTTATCATCCTCCATGTTCCCCAGAGCAGCATTGATGCCTCCCTGAAAATGAAAACCCATTTTCCTGGAATTGCATTACTCAAATACAGCTTTAGTAGGTTTACCACATTTCTATTAAAAACCACATACCAGATATGCTCCTGTGTACAAGAACTATAGTCAAGCCAGATTTAATGTGGCTGTGAAACTCCTCAGTTTCACAATGGCTTGTCCTTCTTTTTGCTGTAATGCAGTGAATCACAGTTACACTTCAGGCAGAGAAGCAGCACTGCATTTTGAGAATGTTTAGAAATGGGGAAGAAAAAAGAGGCAGTATACTGAAATAAAAACATAAGGGGAAATAAGGGTTTTAAGAACAACTGCAAGTGAGATTAAAAAAATGTGTGTTGCACCATAATTAGCTTGGAAGCAAAATGAAGTGTACCTGCTACCTAATATGAAGTCTGGCAGTTACAAGTTCATGGTTAAGTTTTTTTGATCTTAGAGGTCTTTCCCAAACTTACTGATCCTGTGATTTTATTATATACTACCCTCTAAAAAAGTTTCAGCTAAATATGTGATATTTACAAAAAGAAGCATGGCCTTGAAACAAGATGTTCAGGTGCCCCATTCCTAGAAGTGTTTAAAGCCAGGTTGGACGGGGTCCTGAGCAATCTAATCTAATGTGCGGAATCCCTGCCCATGCCAGGGCCACTGGAACTGGGTAACACCTAAGGTCCCTTCCAACCCAAACCATTTTATGATTACATCCAAATCAGCTTTCTGACAGCAGGCATTTTTTAAACATTGCTCTGCCTCATTTCTCACCTGTGCAGCAACAGTATGGGAGCGGGTGGGGAACAGCTTGGTAACACAGGCTGTGTTAAACCCAGCTTCTGACAAACCAAAGGCAGCCCGCAGACCTGCTCCTCCTGCACCCACAACGACTGCATCAAACTCATGGTCCACTACTGGGTATTGTGTAGAGATCTGGAAAAATAAATCATTTTGTTATGATCAAAATAGTTCAAGCTAAGTCAAAAAAGTTTCATAAAAACACAAGCAGGATAGGTATAATGTTGTCAACAGACTTTTGCAGCAATTGCCACATCTGAAATACTCTCTTGCTTGGAAACTGTCAATAAAAGAGCCACACACTTCAGCCCCATAGTCTCACAAAGCACTGCAGTAAAAGCCTCAAAGCCTCATGCCTGTCAAGCATTAAGTGCTTGACTGAATCACAACACAAGCAGCACAGACGTACCGAGTCAGACACCTTGGTGGAGGCGTTTTTCTTCCCATACACTGTGAAATGCAAGGTCCGTGCAGGAGCCTGGCACGCTGCTGGCCACTACGGAGAGAAGCCAAGACAACGTTATGGAACAAATGTTTCCACAGGACAGACCTACAGCACTCTCAGCTACCCCACATTGGTAACAAATCTGCACTCACCACCGGTAGCACACACACAAGAGTATTAATGGATTTTAGAGCTACCTGTACTGAAGTTCTGGCTTTCCTATAATCATGCTATATAATCAAAAAAGGTTTGACTGATGAGAGAATAGCCTTCAGTTAACAGGGTGTTCCAGACTATCCATTACGGACTCCAGCAACAGTGACCAGCACCTCTGACCTGCCTCAGGCTGCATCAGCAGAAGAATATGTCTGAATTAATGCTGAAGTATTCTTGCAGTTCTTTCATAATTAAGCAAAGATGAAGCTTTGTGAGAACCATGGGAAGTAATGGAAAATTATTGTCCTGTCAAGTAATCCTGAGAATTTGAATTATTTCAGGTGGTCATAGTACTGAAAATTATAAAAGGCTATAGGGAATGCTCTTCCAGCTGACTGTTGCTTCAAAAGTCATAGATATTTCTCTTATTCTTTATGAAATTAGTGACCAATTTAGAACCATTTATTAATACATAAACTTAGCACAAGGATGCAAGTTTTACCCTTCTGGATGTCACTTCCTACCCCCTGACTTGCTCAAAACCAAACCAAACCAACAAACACCACACCCAAACCTACTGAGTATGCAGTCTTTGCTTTGATAAGAATTAGCCTCCACCTCTCCAAGGTATCGGAATCTGGTATTCCTTCTTCACACAGTTCAAAAAACAAGCCTAACCTAGCATGTATGATTACTGAGAGCAGCAACACACAGCCACATCAGGGACCTGTCCAGTGACATCAGCACTTCCCTATGTGAAATATAACCTAAAATGCACTGGAGTGATAGCTGCAGCTGTTACATTCATGGTCCCCACTCTACAATATGCTTACAAGTGGCTCTTCCCTCCCCAAATGTCCACCTCTTCTAGAATCTCTGAAGTGAATTCCAGTACATTTTCCTCAACCTAGTTTCATCATTTCTCATACCAACTTCCTCAAAGTTATCTTCTTGCATAACAGCAAATCTACTGCGTCATCACACTTGCTATCTCTGGTTTCTGCAACCACCTTGGAAGGAGATCAGTTCCTATCACCTATTCACAAGGAGCTCCACCAGTACTCTGCTCCAGGCAGCTGCTCCCTCCCTGTTCCACACTGCTGAGTTACCAGGCTTTGAGCTCAAACAAAAACCCACAAAGCAGAAAAAGATGCCACACTAAGTCTGAAGGAAACACTGACTGCAGTAATCCTGATTTTTTATGCCATCAGGAAGATCATGGCCTTTTTAGAACCAAAGGTTCAATCAAGGCCAGCTCACTGCCACTTAAAATATAGAGACACTCTTTAAAGCTTTCCCTCTCTCTGCAGTTGTCTTTTCTGCACTTGCTTTGTAACACAAGTATAATTACAGCCCACTTTTGTAATCCCAAGCTTGTTATGGGCATGCAGGATGAGAACAGTGGGAAGAAACTGAAAACTCCCACCTCACCATGGAGAACAACAAGCCTTCATGCACAACCTAATTTCCTGACACAAACCTGCCAGACTCCTCAGCAGCCCTTTCTGGGCACAATCACCAGCCCAGTTCAAGCAACTCAGATATACAGTGAGTATACTCACTGGGAAGTATACTTCCCACACACGTCCAGAATCACAGAATGCATTAGGATGGAAAAGGCCTCTGAGACCATGGAGTCCAACCAATGACCAGACAGCAGCATGTAAACTAGACCATGGCACTAAGTGTCACATTCAGCCTTTCCTCAAACACTTCCAGGAATGGTAACTCCACCACCATCCTGGGCAGCCCATTCCAATGTCTAGTCACCCTCGCTGTGAAAAAATTCTTCCTGATGTCCAACCTGAACGTTTCCTGGTGCAGCTTGAGGCCATTTCCTCCCTTCCTGTCACCTCTGCCCAGGCAGTTGTCAGGAGTGATAAACCCTATAATCCCCCCTACACCTCCTCCCATCTTCCAGACTTAACACCCCCGGCTCCCTCAGCTGCTCCTCACAGGACTCGCGCTCAGAGCCTTCACCAGCCTCACTGCCCTACTCCGGCCTCGCTCCAGCACCTCAGTGTCTTTCGTGAAGCGAAAGCCCCGAACTGAACACAGCACTCGAGGTCTGGCCTCAGCAGGGCCGAGTACAGGAGGAGCACGATCACTTCCCTGGTCTCCCTGTGCGCACTTTTGCTCATACAGAATAAGTCTGCGGCGAGCTTTCCATCCCGGAGCTCGGGCCGCACCTGCCAGGCGCCCGCAGGCCCTTCCCCAGCACATCCCATTCCCGCTGCCTCCCTCAAAACCCCGCCAGGGCCTCAGGCTACGGCGCTCGCTTCCCGAGCCGGGAGGCGCGGCCCAGCCATGCCCACAGCCACCTACTCCCAGGAACCTGCCTGCCCCCGGGACACGAGTAGCGCGGTCGGTGCCGCTCCAAAATAGCACTGAACCTGCCGGGGGTGGGAAGATCACCGGGCGAGTCAAGGTCACGGAGGAGACAGCGGAGCCGGGCCGCCGCCGGCGGGAAAGCAGGGCAGGATCAACGGCAAGGACAGCGACAAGGACATGGACAGGGACAAAGGCATGGACAGGAGCAAGGACAGGGAAAAGGGTAGGGACAGGGACTCACCGCCCGGGAAGCCGCGGCCGGGCGCAGCCAGCGCTTCGCCAGCCCCCGCGCAGCCGCCGCCGCCATCACGCACCGCAGACTCGGGGTGGGGAGGGGGGAGCGGGCGTGAAGGGCGCACGCGCGGGGCTCGGCGGGACGGACCAACACTGCCGCGAGGGGGAGCCCCGCAGAGCGATCCCACCCCGCCCAAGAGCTGCGTGATGGAAGATTAATAAACAGCTCCTGTTTCGAGGGTAAAGAACGTTTTTTAAAAATCGAAAACTACAATTGTGTTACTGCCGTTATTTTTCCCTGGTGATCTCCAATATTGTAAGATTCAGCCTCTTTGACTCTCTGACAGCGCCTGAAAGTTTGCGTAATAAACAGGCCAGAATCATGAAGTTGTGGGAAAGACCATTTCGTTGACTCGAGATTCGGACAGAAGGGTGAAGGAAAGACCGTGCTGTCGTTCTAGGACAGAAAGCAGGCTCGGCAGCTCCAGACGGCGGAATTCAGATGCCGCTCACGGATGCCTCTGGCCCTCGCCGTTAATGGAATAAAAAGTGCCCGGCAGGGGCGGGGACGGACGTCTGGCAACCCTCCAAGCTCGGGCCAGCCCTGTTGTTGTCCACCCCCTTTTTCTCCCGGCTGATGGGCCAGGCCGGGAGGGGGCGGGGCCGACAGGTGAGTGGCAGCGCCGGGGGCTCGCGCGCTCCCGGGCTCCTTCGTGGGGGGTCCCGCCGTGGCGGAATCGGGACGGGAATGGGAGTGGGAATGGGAACGGCAGGCCGTGTCGCGGCCGGGGCTGCCACTCATGGCCCGGCCAAGCCCCCAAGTGTCGGGGCCGCCGTTCCAGGGGCTGGGGCAGAATTCCCAGTCCCCCAGCGGGAGGAGGCGGTGGCGGCGGGAGCGGCCCCGGCCCCTCTGCGCGCTGCTGAGGCCGCGTCTTCCCTCTGTGCATCGCAGGTGCCTTCATGAATAACTTAAATGACCCTCCCAACTGGAACATCCTGCCCAATCGGCGCGATCCCGGCGGTGACGGCAGCCGCTGGAATTACGCCCTGCTGGTGCCCATGCTGGGCCTGGCCGCCTTCCGTGAGTAGCGCTGGGACCCCGGCCCCAGGGGCTCCTGGAGCCATGGCCCGCCTGGGCACGGCCCCTCCTTGTTTATAGCGCCGTACGCAGCCTGCGCTGTGGGTGTCGCTAAGGGAAGGACCGCTTTTCACACTGTGAAAAACGCGTATTTTATGATTGGCTTTTCGCAGATATTAAAATGAATATTATATGCGTTGTGTTAGAAAGTAACGCTGTATTAATTCTCTTAAGTAGTGCGTTAAATATAGTTTTGGGTTATAAAAAATGTTAAAATAGAAACTATGCTGTGCAGGATACTTATTTTAAAGAAAGGACTTGCAGCGAGATGGCAGCCCCAGGACACCTAAATCTTTCAGAGGAAAAGAATTTGTTGCCCGCTTATCAGAAGAAACGAACTTCTTCCCGCCTCGAAGGCGCTGTTAGGATTCAGAGGAAGAAGTTGACGATGACCAGACAGAATCCTTTATTTTAATAGAATTTATGCATCATGTATGAAGTGTATGAATCTGCAACAGGCTATTGTTTTTAAGGGTTAATCCTCTGTTAATGTGGATCCTGATCCTGTAGTCCTTTTTCGGGCTTGTGATGCCCAGAAAAAGGTACCCAGATGCCCGTAACTCTTTGTCTCTATTGTCTCACATTGTCCTAATTCAAATTGTCCAAATTGTTATTACTCTAATTGTATTACTATTTTTATAGCCATTTTATTGCTATTAAACTTTTAAAATTTTAAAAACAGGTGATTGGCGTTTTTCACAATACACAGAGATGAATCCATATTTAATAATATGGATTAATAATATTTAATATCCAATATACAAAGCTCTCTCAAGAAAAATGGACACAGGATGTGCTGGAGAGCCCAGAGGTAACAACACCAGATGTTGCTGCTGTATTTATTTACTGGGCTAGAAAGTTCTCCATGCAGTATCCACATCAAAAACCTCCAGTTTGTTTCTCCATTACTTTTTTTTCCTTCTCTAATCTAAGTAGTGCCAGTGTAGACAATAAAAGAGTAGAGGTATTTTATTTCAGAGAAAGCATGATCATGTAAAGTGACTCACTGTGAAATAGGGACCAAAGAAATACATTTTGTGGGGACATGTAAATAGAAGTGAAGGGCAGGAAAGAAAGTCTTTTTACCACTTAGTAGCTTCATTTCAGGCATAGCTAATTAATCATACCCCTCACTGTTACATGTTATACTTGCATCTGAAATATTATTTATGTGTGATAGGGTGGATCTGGACCAGAGAATGTCAGAAAGAAATAGAAAAAGAGAAAGAAGAGTACTACAGGAAAGAGTCAGCTTTACAACAAGACCTGGAGGGCAAATACCGGGATATAATCACAGAGAACCGCCGCGCTGTGGCTCACCTGGAGGTGGAGCTGGAGAAGGAACGCAACAGGACCCTGAGCTACCGGGAAGCGCTCGTGTCCCAGAGCCGCAAACTGGTGGAAGAGAGGAGGCTCCTAGAGCAGGAGCAGGAGAAGCTGGAGAGAGAAAAACAAGTCTTTTTGCACTCTGGAGCAGAAGGTTCCTTGTACCAGAGTTGCCTGGCAAAGGAGGAAGAGTGGCAGCAGAGAGCCAATATTTTACTGAAAGAATTTGAAGAGGGACTGAAGGAAAGACAGGACATCTACTGTAGTCTTGTAGTACCCAGAAGTCAGAGACTAGAAATAGAGAAAAATCTGCTAGTTAAAGCAGCAACTAATCCTGTTGCTGTGGCTTTACATGTGGAGAGTGGCTTACAAGATATTTTCAAACATGATAACTACTGTGGCAATGTGCTGAACAGAACCAGAAGTCAAAATGGAAAGCTTATGTGGCTGTATCTGAGATACTGGGAACTAGCTGTTGAGCTGCAGAAATACAAGAGAGTAGAAAAGGCCATGCTAGGAAAACGCTAAGTAGGGGAAGCAGAGGGATTCCATGTGTAGGGATCACAGTTGTAGTCTGAAGCTGTTAAATTCTTCTGCTGTGTTGCCATCTCTCCTCCTTGCACTTGTGTTTGCATGGGACGTGTGCTGTGCTGTGCCTTTCCTCTCACTAACCACAGATGCTCTGGTGAGCTGTGCATGCTCCTGAACTCCCTGAGAGTGTGTGTGTTGCAGTACAGAGATATGCCAACTCCCCAGGTGTCAGAAGCAGCAAAACAGAACTCAGATTAGAGGGATTTGCCTCGTTGATGGTCACACTCCAGCAACAGAGAATGGTCATTTGTCTCCCCCAGGTGTGGTAGCATGTTGTGCTCCTTATCTCTGACATTTTACATGGTGTCTCAACACTGTCTTTTTTTATTACTATTATTTTTTAAAAATGTGTTTAAGCAAGACTGATTTTGAGGCAGGTGTTTGGGAGAGATGGTGCTGGAGCCAGCTGCTTGACACGTAAATCTTTCATGTCTGTGTGTTCAAATATATAAATATATATATATCTATAAATATATACATATATATATATATACACATATATGTATGTGAGTGTGTAAGTGTATGTGAAAGTATTCTGAGGGTGGAATAGATTGATCCTGTTTCAGACTAGTCAGTCTTGCATTGTCTTCCAGCTTCATATACAAATAGTGCTTTATGAATGCAACATCCAAAAGATGCTGGTTCAAATAACACATAAAGAAACAGATTGATGTCTTATTGGCACTTGGGATTCATTATCAAATTCTAGGGAATGTATAAACTGGAAGTTTGTTTTCATATATTGGATATACCTTAAGAATACTTCTTTTTTTCCTCAGTCGAGGTTTTAGTTGTAACCCAACAATGTGCCACCATTATGGATGTCCCTGTGCTGCTGCTTCTGCCTCTTAGGGCACTGGCTGCCTCCTGGGTTGCTTGCAAGAACCTCCTTGCACCTGGCTCTGTTCCTTGGACAGGTCCTGTTTGTTATTTGCAGATGGGAACATAAATGCAGCCTGCACTGGTAGCCACTGCTGTCTCTCCACCTGTCTCCCTTCTCCCAGAACTAAGTACATACCCTTTTCTGCAGCTCTGGAATTTTGTGCTTGTGGTTCACCACTTTACATACACATGGCCATGAAAGCCTACAGATACACAAGCTTTGTGAGCTTTTAAGAAAGGGAGCTTTTCAATGTAGCTAGTAAAATAAAATAATTTGGTAAAAAAAAAATTATAAGTACAGTGAAATAATAGATTTTAAAATAAACATCCAGATTAAAAAAATCCAACAACAAACAAAGCTTTAAAACCCAGTGCATTTCAATTTCTTAGAACTTTGATTATACTTTGGGTCCTTTAGCAGTAGGAACCACCTTTTTTCAAACATGCCATGTATTTAAAATTGTAAGAACTTTTTTCTTCCCCCTTTCTAATCCAGCCTTAGACCTCAAAGGGGCAGTGTTTACCCTTGTGTTTATAACATCTTTTCTTCTCTGTTACTTGACTTTGATTAGTGCTGGTAGGTTGTCAGCTCATTAATTAGCAGTTTATTATTTACTGAGGGCTGGACTTGACAAATGTGTTTGCACTAGGCAATCATGTAGAACCATGGCTTGGAAGCAATCAAGCTAAGTGAATGCCCATCTTCCTGCAGATGTGGGGGTTTTCTCCTGGTTTCATTTTAGTCTGAGCACAGAAGACAGCAGATAAATCTTTTGAAACAGTATGCACAACTTAATCCAGTTCCTAAGTAGAAATACCTAACATGAAACAAAATTCCTGAGCAGAATAGATGATTCCCAACTACTCGATTTTCCAGTTGAGGTTTTGCTCACCTTGATAGTGCTAATTTTACTGTTGTATTGACTTATTAATCCTTTTTTCATTTTGATCTTTTAATGAAGTTTTAGGAGACAAATTTGGAGGAAAAAAGAGAGATCACAAACACCAGAATGTTTTTGGCCACAGTTTGTCAGGGTGCCAAGCATATTTGGGTTGGGAGATGAGAACACAACTGAGTTGCTAATCATGTGATGTCCTGAGCCGAGCTGCTGCAGCTGGACACAGGCACACAGTCTGATTGCCCAGGAGAACAAACTAGTTTGGATAACAGCCCATGTGTAATTCCTTCAGGATGTGGAAAGTGACTGTCCAGCTGTGGCACACTTTGCATGTTCCTGCAGGCAGTTCAGCTGCTCAGCTGACTGAGAGCAGACAGTGAATCAGTGCCAGTGTATTTGAGATTGATGCCTTGAATTTGTGTAAGTTAGCCTTAAAAGATCAAAGGTTTTGTGCTTTTTCATTTTTTCATAGTTTGTTATGCATATCACTCAAAATGTTTAAAGAAAATGTAATCAAGGGTAAAATACTGTTTTTTCAGTATGAATATGTACATTCAAGCCTTGCACACTTGAATGTACAGGAAATGTAAAGAAAGTACAGAATGTACTGGATGCAATGTAGTAAAGGTTTGGTATTCACTTTCTCTTTTTTAGATGTGTCATTTATTTGTACAGCTAATTGAACTATTGTTCATGGACACTTTAAAGATCATTGTCTCAAGACAGAAGGCTTATTTCAGAAAGCTTTTTAAAAGTGTATGACTCATTTAGAATCACTGGTCTTGTTAGTTTCTTCCAAAACTCATGTTTATGGAAATGCAATTTATTTTTGAAATGTTCCCCCTTTGTAGGTTGTTATTCTCAAAATTCTGATGTAAGTTTTGTCTTGCCCAGCATTTCTTCTGAATTGGTTAATTGTTTAGAACTGCCCATATACATATGTAGAATGCAAGAACAATTTGTTTTCAAAGTATTTAATGAACTTATTTTTATTATAAAATTGTCACTCAGCTATTAAACAATAACAATTAATAAAAACCTTTAAATATTTCTGCACTGTTTTATAACTTGGGCAAGGTGGGTGGGTGTGGGATCTCAGTCTCTCAGAACTGGGGTGCAGGGTGAACAAGACCCCCCCTGGGGGGCTCGGGAGTCCTGGAATGCTGCCAGAAATGTCTGGTGGCTGGACTTTGATCCCACATGGGAGATGACATCAGTATGAGGACGGGAGGATTTCACTGGGGTGAATGGTGAAAAGACAAGTTAATTGGAGTGTGAGATACAGGGTTTAAGATCCCTGTACAGGGGGGTCTAGAGAGGCAAGATGGAGGGATTGAGGCGTGCCCTTCTCCTTCTTCTTCTTCCTCTAAGCCTCCATCTTCTGTGGTGATGTTGGCACTCCGGGATTGGACCTTACTAGGAGAACACTGGTTAATAAGAGTAGAGGGTATTGGAGAAAAATGATAAATATTGTATACGTAACTCCGGGTATAAAGATAGGTGACCGCCCCAGGAGCTTTCAGTGTGTGTGCCCATGGCTGACTGCTGAGCAGAACTCTGTCAGGCCAAGAGAAAATCTTTTAGATAAGCAATTAATAAACACCAAGACCAAGAACAAATCTGAAGCTTCCTCTCGTCCTTTCGAACCCGGGGGCCCAAAGCCATCTTTGGGCTTTTTCCCAGACCATCTGAACAGCACAGAAATCCAACAGGTGGGAGAACTGGAATTTACTACTTTATTCAGATTTTCCAAATTGTAAATTTTTTTAATTGGCATGTAAAAAGTTTTGGTCTTGGTGCTGAGAAAAGAATATATTACAAAGTTTTTTTCTTAGGAAAGGACACTGTTAAAAAGGTAAGTGCTGACCATTAACTAGAGATGTGGGGTTAAAGGTGACCATCCCTCTGAAAGACTGGGGACATTCCAGCAACAGAATATTGTGTAGGATATTCTACCCTGCTCCAGAATCCCTCAGATGTCTCATTCTGCATGTCAGCTGCTTTTCATTTCCCTCACTTTCCTGCTCTCTGTGATGAACTGCAATCCAGCTGCTCTAGGACAGCGTTCAGACACTGGAAATCCTTGTTCTGTAATAAAGGATTCTCAGTCTATCTGTATTTGGCACACTCTTCCCCATCCTCTGGTTCTATAAACCTTGGGTTTGAGCACTCCTGTGTGAGGATGAGAAAACTGAGTGTTCCTCTGTGGAGCATACAAGGCAGAAACAGTGGTCAAGGGTTCAGGTACTGTGGTGAAATCAAAGATATTTGAATTATTGCTGTGAAAAGAGGATGCAAGTTTATAGTTGCAGTTGTGATACAGCTGAATATGAAGGCTTTGCTGGTTTGCATGCCAAGGCCCACATTTACTGGTTATTAATTTAATGCCTGGTCCAGGAGCTTTCCCTGGTCACTGCCTATCTGAGACAGCAGATGGATGTGCTAAGTAACTCACTGAAATTTAGCATAGCCCAGCAATGAGGCAAGGGCCACTTCACAGCAAAACAGCTGAGTGATTGCTGCAACAAAAACTGAAAGTAAACTGAAAGTAAATGTGCTTCTGGAAACAAGGAGTCTGTGAATGGAAGAGTTTGGGGAGAGCTGGTGGATTGTGAGATCAGCGATGTCAGCTGTTCACAGTCATGCACCCCAACGGCCCTGTGCCGAGATCACCGGGCTGTCCAGCTGCTGGAAAAATGCCTCTTCACTCTTGTGTTCATGACAGGTTTATATTTGTGACATACCTCACCTCTAAACGTACCGCAGTCAGAGCAAAATGCTCGGCTGCTGTGGTTGGTGTTCGTGTCGCTGGATGCTGCTTCCCCCTTGTGGCTGACGGCTCTTCCAGCCAGCAGCCGCATTCCCCGTTCCCATGGCTCCGCTGGAGCAGCGCATCTCCTGATGCTGCACCTCAGAGCTCTCTGGCCCAAACACCTCCGGGAGTAATAAAAGAAAGGTGAGCAAAGCCGAGGTGTTCGGTGGCCAAAGGAATGAACTTGTCTCCACTGAGCTGGGTGCTGCGGCAGATCTCTGTGCGAAGGCGGCAGGCACAGGGGGTTGGGTGTAGTTCAGCAACATATTAGTACCTCATCGTATATTGCAGTACTGGAAATGAAAACCGTAACAAACTCGATTAAAGAAGGCTGCTCATTGTTTAATGAAGATGGCAAGAAGCAA